CCTGGTCGGGCGGGCCGGCCTACCCCGCCCCTCGCAGGCGCTCCCTGGCCTGGCGCTCCCTTTGCTCGCCCACGTGGTCGCGCGGCGGCGGCGGCGATCGTATCGCGCGGGGCGCCCCTCTGCCAAGGCTGTGTTTACAGTCCTCGGCCGCCCTGCTGCTGACGGTGGCGGGCGGCCCTGGCTGGCGGCGCTGGCGGCGCCCCCCTCGGGGCGGTCCTGTTCGGCGACGCCACAGGCCCCACACAAGCCTTGCGTCGCAGTCGAGTTGTTGTAGCGCCGCCGCCGGCGCCGCCTCAGCATGTTGGCGGCGGGCTGCAATGTGCCAGGGCAGCAGGCCGGCGACAACAAGCCGGGCTGCTCAGGCTGACCCGGCCCCCCGCCCCGGCCGCAGCAGGGACCCGCCAGGGGGGAAGTTCAGTTGTGGGCGGCGCGCAGGCGGCGGCAACCGAGTCGGGAGCAATCAGGACGACGAGACGACGAGTCGGAGCTGTGGCACGGGAGGGGTTGGAGGCAGAGGCTCCCGGCGACAGTTTGTGGTTGTGCCTGTTGTGCTGGCGCTGGGGGGCGGCCCGGGGCATCCTGACTCAGGTGCGACGGCCGCCTCCTTGTCTCTAGCTAGCAGCCGCCTAGCCCGGCGGCGGCGGGGGCGGCCCCGCGCCAGAGACTCCCCAAATATAGGTGGCGCGTCTGCGGTGCCGAGTCGTGCCGTTTTTATCTTATCTTGCGCTGCACCGACCGGGCGAGGCCGGGCCGCGGGGCCGCCATGGCCTCCATGGGGGCCGCACCAGGGCAGCCGCCGCCGCGTCGCGGGGACCCTCCCTGGGCGGCAGACAGCGTCGAGTGCATCTCGCGCTGCTCCCTCTTCTCTCTCCCTTTTTGTGTGTGCGTCAGTGCGTCTATTGCTGTGGATGGCCATCGTGAACGCGCTGGCACACACATGACATGACCAGAGCTGCACGTGCACCCCCCCCCCCTCCCCACCGGACCCGGGGGCCGCGCGTGCGACAGCCCGGCGGGATTGATGGCCGGCTCGAAGCTCGTGTCAGCGTGATGAATATTCACAGTGAAAAGCCTGCGATGCGATGCGGCCGGTTCCGCTCGGCCCGGCCCGGCTCGGCCTGGCCGGCTGCGCTCCAGTTATCGAGCAGATTGGCGCAGGCGCAATCGCTCGGCAGAGCCACACGGGCAGAGCCGGGCCCGGCCGGGCCGCTAATGCAGTAGTGCTTATGGGATGGAGCCTGAACCGACCCCCCTCCCCTCGTCCGGCAGCGAGAGGGATTAAAGGGCGGCTCTGGTGTGTTTTTAAAGCTGTATCGCCAACAGTATGGAATGGAAAATACATACGCCCGCAAACGTGCCTGCGAGATTGTTTCTCTTTTTTCCTCTCGTTCACACGTGTGAAATGTCGCAGCTGGTTTTTGTTTGGTCGTCGTCGTCGTCCTGGCGCGGCTGAGCTCCGCGCAGAGGCCTCTGTGTGCTTTGGCCTGCGCCTTCTTCTCTGTGACCTCACCCGACCTGCCCCCCGGGGTGGGCTGACCCCTCATGTTCTGATTGCCTTGTTTTGTTCTGTCTGTTGCAGGTAAGTATCGCTGCCCGCGGGACACGCTGAGGCTGGTGCCCTGTTAGGCGCCGGCGGGGGTCACGGTAGGGTGGAGTCGGAGCGCCCCGCTTGCTGACCGGGTCGGCCCGGGCCCGGGGTGAGCTGGGCGCGCCGTTACATTCGGCTGCTAAACATTTCCAAGTGCGCGTCACTCGCAGCGGCACGTGCTCGTGCGGACTGGAAGTAAAGCACTGGAACTTCCTCAAAGGACGCGCAAAGAGCTGCTCCGAGAAGACATTCACGAGCGTCTTACTCCAGTGAAAATGTCGCCCACTTGACAGTGTATAGCGCCCACCAAAAATCAAAGTGTACGAAAGGCGCACGCAAATCTAACTGTAGAACGAGATGCAAAAACAAACTGACATCTTGTTCTAAAGTTCGATTTGCAGGTGAGCGAATAAAATGACGCTCTGCACTGCAAAATGCTTGCAAAGAATTTTAAAGCATTGCTTTGCAGTGCAAACACATCGTTTACTATGATTCTGACAGCTTGCGAAGAATTCTTTGCAAGACAAACTAATTCTTTGCAACACAAAACTCGAAAACTCTTTGCAATGTTACAAAGAATATAGTTTGCAAGCATTTTACAGTGTGGTTAATGTGTGGTAACGTATTTGCACTGCAGGTGAGCGACTGACAATTCGTATTGAGATATTAGTCATTCGTACACTTGCAAAATAGCGTGATTAAGCTGTCGTGTAAATTTACTCGCTCACCTATGCAAAATGTGCGACATTCGTACATCTGAATGCTAGTCGTGTTGCTGATTTGGGATGGCATAGCGTGCCGTGCCGTGGCCACGGTCGGAGCTCCAAGAGGGTCCCGTACAGCGATGCGGACAGCAATGTTCTTGACTCTGTCCTTGCGGCTGCTTGGACGGGCTCCTCTTGACCCCTTCCACGACGTGCAAAAAGGTGGCGGGTACCGCGTCGTGACCGCCAGGGTCGGGCCCAGGCACAAAATGCAGAGTGCACACACAGAAAATATGGTTTGGATTAATATGGAAAATTCCTTCAGTTCAATTGTCTAACATGAAAGAAGATTCACCTTACTTAAAGGGTGGCTCCCTTTCCCTTGTTTTAAAGAATGGTTCTTTACCCTGTGCTAATTTTCCCCGTAAAGCAACGAAAAATCATTTGATATAAGATTGGAATTCCATCGAATCATCAATTAAAAACCAACGGAACCGTTTTCTGGGTGCACTGCACGTGACTGTATAAACCTTCCGAGTGATTGTGACTGCTTTGTTGTTTTTTGTCGTTTGTAATTTGAAGCAATTTCTTTGCAATACGCACACATCCTTCTCAAAGGTTTATCAGAGTACGTTGTGGGCTCGGGGCCCGGTGCCGGAGCGGACACCTGCCACTTTTTTGCCGCCCGGCCCCCTGCTGGCGGCCGCCCCAGCCCGCCCTGCCGCGCGGCTCGTACGAAAACCGCGTCTTCCATCTCACTCCATCTCTCGTTAGACTGACGTTTGCGAGAGAGGGGTTGGAGGGGAGGCACTTGACGGTTTTCGAACGTGCCGCGTCTGGCGCGGACGGCTGGCTGCGGCTGCACCCGTGTGCCATGCTACGTGTGCGACCGCCATGTGTTCTGTTTGTCTTGCGTGCGACTTGGAAGGACGGGGAAGGTTCCTAGTGGGGGAGTGCAAGCTGGACGTGAAGCCAGCCGCGCACAAGACCAACAAAGGTATGCCGTAGTAGTGGAGTAGACTGTAGACTCAACACCGCGCCTCTGAGGGGGGACCCACCCGAGCGAAGCGCGGACCGAGCGATACGGTTCACGCCTTTTCGCGCGACAAATTTAGAAGGAAAAAAGTACAACCAAGTAAAAACCAAGTAAAACTGAAGTTTGTGAAGGAACTCACTTTGAAGCTGCCAGGATTTAGTCAAATGAGTGGAAGGTTTTGCTCTCTTCAGAGGCGAGATGTTTCTTTTTGTATGGCCGTGTTGATTTTTTGTTTCAAGTATGCGGTTTTATTCTTTTCGGGGTAGACTTTGTGACGGTTGGATTAGTTTTTGTAGCGAGACATGTTCTGCTCGAGCCGCACCGTACCTCCCGACTCCGCATGCTGGACCGTAGCTAGCCGTAGCTTGGACACGCCACGCCTCACACGCGGCAGCGAGAGCGAGGTTCACGAGGAATACAGCCCAGAGAATGGGATTGGCGTACAAGACAGTCTGTAAACGGATCATTTTAGTGCGCTGGATGAAAAAAAAATCATTTTTTATTGTCAGAATAATACCCTTGCGTAACTAAACTGAGATCGTCATGTTTTTTTCTGCACGACCAGATATCTTCTACGCCAACTGTTTTTTTCACTCTCTTTAAAACGCTCAGACTTGATCGTCGAGTTAATTCTCTCTGAGCACTCACTCATTCTTGGCCGGAAGCTACCCTTTTAATCACGCTGCGATCAGGACGAGGTGGGGGTCCTTGCCAAAAGGACCCCACCGCCCGTCATAAACTTGAACTGTCCTTCCTCCCTCCTTCAGAGAACAAAATAAAAAAAAAAGACGACGGAATCGCGATGCGGAAACCGCAGCAGAGTGAGTGCGGCGGCGGTGAGCTCGGTTTTGCGTAATGCCGGCCGGGCGCAAGAGGCCCCGCAATCGTCGACGTTTCGCTCTACACGGCCCAGCAGACGACAAAGTGTCCAAAAAGTGCCGGCGTACCTGTTATCGCCGCGGAGCTGACGCGACGCGGCGGCGTGCAATCGGCGCGACACTTGGCAGGAAGCCCCGACTCTCTTCCCACGCCACTCTCTTAGTCTTCCTCGTCTGTGACAGGACCGTATCGTCCTCTCTGCCCTCTGCCCCCGCTGCTGGCCGCTGGGCGGAGAGATCCCGCCTCGCCAGAGACTCTGCGCTCGCCCTGCCCGACCCGCCCGCGCGGCCCCCTGTCTCTCCTCTGTCTCTGGCGGCGCGGGGTATACTGTCCACCTCCATCCATTCCGGTGCCCTTTATACCGTGTTGGACGTCTGCCAGAGAGCGAGAAAAAGAGAGAGAGAGAAAATAAAGCTCCCCTATCACTTTGCCACGTCAAGGGCTGTATATCCGATTCAGAGGAAAGTTTTTGGTTTCGATGCCACGGCTGCATGTGCCTGCTACCTCATGTCACCTCATTTCCGCCCGGTCGTTGGACTCGTGTGTCCGTCGGGTTCCGTGCACGCCCCCCTCCCCTCTCCCGCCCAACACGCGTGTCCGGCGGGCTTGCCTATGCAGCGCCCCGTGCACCGCCAGGGATGAGGTGGGCCGCCCGCCCAACACGCGTGTCCGGCGGGCTTGCCTATGCAG